TGTGAAAAGCCATCCTGTGTAGCTCGTAGGGTCATGGAGGCACGCAAGCCATCACACCGCGTCAAAGTGCAGTTTCGTCGTGATGGATTGGTTTCATCTAACCAGCGTAAAAACCGTGAGATGCTGAAAATTCACCCTTTGAGTGCATGCAACTTTTAATGAATTGACTTGTAATCCCTCTCGATTTTACAAAATTGGAGGGAATGAACTCGTAGATTCCGTTGCTGATTTACAGTGTAACATCTGGTCGCAAGAGCTCATTCCATCAACTTGGGTTGAATCACTGACCGTTCCAATATACAAGAAACAATCTTGCAACGAATGCGCAAACCACTGGAATGTAAGCTTGAACCCGATTATCAACACAGTTTTCGCCTTTTGACATCCACGAACAGCGAGCAGAATTTCGGCCTGGTCGCGGATGCACTGAGTAAATATTTACGTTCCGTCAGATCCTCCGGTTGTTTCATAACCACTGTCGACCAATGAAAACAGTGTTGCTCGGTAAAAAGATCCATTAGGACGACGCGGTTCTCTTCACTTTCCTTCCTCGATAAACGAATTCTCCGGAAGTGTGTGAACTTACTGAGGTTACGGTCCTCATATGCTTCTGACGGAGTGGTGATCTACGGCGAACTAAGTAGCTTGATCTTCACCAGCGGGGGTGTTCGCCGAGCAGGCCCTATTTCATCAATCTTGTTTGTACACGAAATAGTGGAGAACGGACTTGGTGGTTTTCAAAATGTTGGTGTTCTGTGGACAGTTGGAGAAAAGCTGTGAGACCTAGGGTATGGTAGCGACATTGTCTGTCTGTTCGATGCGCAAAGTGCATGCAAGGAAGACCCGATATGTTGGGAAGCTTTTGATTGTACTCAACAGACAGTCACCTGTATCTCCCTTCATTGCCGTCGAGCCAACAATGAACCTACTAACTACCATTGAAGACGACACCAGAACAAACGAATCAGTAGTTCAGTTCAGGCCTGTTATGAGCGGGTTGGCACAGTAGTAACGCGCAGGTCTTTCATGCGATAGGTATGGAGTACAAAGCCCGGACGAGAAGGTGGATTTGCACTACTGATGAGCTCCTACAAGAGCGATTCAAGTGCTTCCAATTGTACGGTTGACTGCAATAGCTGAGAATGGTGCGTGACGGTAAGGTCTGAAGGATGGTCAGTTTAAATCAAAAATCGAAGTTGTCCTCCCTATAGAGCGCAGAATAAATTAAACAAGTCACTGATCAAAGGTAATCGTAACCTAGGTCTAATGCTTCCTTATCGAGCTTGGACGATGCACTTCATCGTGAATCACGTGTTGAGATGAATCACAACCTAATTTCACGAATAACAACGGCGATACTGATGCCGACCAACACCGGCCAAAACGAATGTATCGATCGGTTTCAGTATGCACCAACAACGGACTGCGTCATACTATATATTTCAATTCCGCTTTCGATTAACACGTATTAGTAAATAATTGGAACAAGTAATGGAAGGGACGTAGTTTTCCTCTACCCCGTTTATTCTGCCACATATAATCGACTTTTCATACTACTCACAATTATATACTACTGACTGACATGATATGTTGCAGCTCTTAGAATTTACTCAGTTGTTTTTATCTTCCGAGGGCTTAGGCCTAGCAGGAGACTGTCTGTACGTCTGATCTTTACTTATTGAGCTATCAACCGCGAAGGGACCTTCGGCTTTCATGTAAAGCTCCATGGTATAACGAAGCGCGTTAATCATCTGACCAAGACAAACCACAATCTCGCAGCGATAGTGAAGTGCATAGACAAGGAACTTTATGACACGTGAGCCAGAGCAACAAACTGTATAGAGATTGGAGCCGACAGAGGAAAACAGAGGACAATAAACTGAGCGATGTGGCGACTGAAATCTTCCCAGAGAACCGGTCATTCGTTTCTTTAGTTCACAGTCTGATCTAAACCTCCAAACTTCGATGTCACAAACCTTGGCGTGCAAAACAGTCAGGGAAAAGGCAGCTATTCAATCATGAGTACGGTTCGAAAATCGGGTATCGGAAACGGCAGCAAGAACTTACAAATATGCTTCGTGACCCAAGCGATCGCAATCGATCACGTGAACAGAAGGACTAAGTCCGGCCAAACGTCTCGCCAAGGCTGATTTGCCAGCACCAGACGGACCAGCCAATCCGATTACGTAGGGGGACTGTGGACCGCGTTGACTCCAACCATGTTGATTCACTGGACGGAGTAAAGTACCGAGTAGATCAAACCGGGTGTTGGAAGAGCTAAGCTTGGTTTCACATAGAGACTTGGGAACTGTGTGGTAATGTGGTCTGGTCAAAATTCGGAAGAGGAAAATAAAGCGGAAGCTGGTAAATGACTAAAGCTGGACGAGATTACAGCAAAATCACAATTCTCATTTCAGTCCAAAGTGAAACAATTTGAGAAAATGTGATACTGTATACGAAACGTCAAGAAAACCAATAATTGTAAATTCATCCGGAATTCGTTTACAAGGTTTAAGTAGAGCAGCTGAAGGACGAGGGAGAATTTCGAGAGGTCATCCTGGACAGCAGTAGTATAGTGTGCCATTGTCAGTGACAAGTAACAATCCGTTAGGCAATGTGTTCAAACTTCACATTGGCTGGCGCTGGTCGAGTGATAAGGTCATAAAAATTACCATCTCGAGGTCCTGAATTCGCGCGCCGCCCCCACCGTTCATCTTCCTATTTTCCAGATTCCCTCAGGCAGCCTTTGTATGACCGCGGCGCCCTTCCTGAACGTTTATTGACTATTTCTATAATCAATAAACAAAGGAGAAAAAATAGCTACATTCACCCCAGTGATACGAAACTCTGTCGTTTCTTGAAGAAACATCATCGAATGCCCAATAAAAAAATTGATACGACTAGCTACTGTTTTGTGACTTACGTCATGAAGAAACTGAACCTCGACGTGGTGCTAAAACTAGAACATTTCTATAAGCGAAAATGCTACACAGAATACCTTTTATCATGTCTAGGATCTGATCAAATCTGAAGGATGCAGGGAAGGGGTCAGACAAAGGTCAATATCCAGGTTATAAGAGTCAGGTTTTGACCGGAGTTGGTGTTTCAGTCCGAAAAAAACAATCAATGAACAATCAATCTAAGTAGATACGTCTCCAATTTGTCTTAGAAGTAGTTTCGAGCTAAAGTTCTCGTCAGAACTGAAGGATTTGGTTAAGACCTTTAATCACCCTTCTAACCAACTGCTAGAGTCTCCAGACGTATTTAGCTCTCTAATAATACACACATTACAAGGAATTTCACGCAGCATCGGTCGCTGTGTAGGGCAAAAAGGATCACTCTGATCACTGCACCGAACAAAGTGAGTGGTGATAGATGGGGCAGTACTCAAACAGCTTCAATCATATTGATATCGCTGTCCGTTTTCACATTTTTTTTATATACCTCCTTCTCGAGCTTTACGCAGAGTTGGTTTTCTATTCCGCCTTGGATGCCTGTCCAACTTATCATACGCAAAAGATCAAACCCGCCCAATGTTCAAATACTGCAGTCACGTGCGGGATTGAGATCCGTAAACAACTGGGATGGTCAACTATTCGGCTTCAAGTTCAAATGTGCAACCATTCCACCGTCGCCGGATAACCGCTTCGTGAACTTTTCTAACTCAACTTGAATTTCATTTCCTCAAAACTCGTTTTGATGGTTCTAATTCCATTTCATTTTCTGCAACATCTCAATCATACATGATCAGCCATTCTCAGATTGGGCTTAATTGGAGGGAGACAAAGAAGAAGAAGCTCTATGGTCAACACACAGGGCACACAATCGAACTCAGCATACATATCGTTTCATGCATTCTGGTCTGATAAGAAGTGACAACAAGAACGCCACTACTGTCGGTTAGTCGCCATATCCTTCAGTGTATCCAACCAGCCAGTTGCAGAATCTTTCGGACCCCAACCTNTGGAAGACGGGAGACACCGATTCTACCTACTCGCTCTGTGCATTTATTCATGCCTCGTTTCCACGTGATCAGTTGACCTCCACGCGGTTTCTTCCAACCTGAAGCCGCGACTGCGAATAAGGCGCAGTGAGGCAGACGATGGCTGGGCATGCGCAATAGGTGTCCTAACCAGCGAAGCCGATTAATCTGAATTCGATAGGACAACGAATTCTCCATAGAACCGTTATCAAATAGTTGCTTACAAGCTCGCTACATCCAACCCGAGCTAAACAACGTAAACATTTACAGTCGAATACTTCAAGACGACGAGTATCTTTCACGCGCAAATTTCGGGTCTCACAACCGTAGAGCAGAACGGACTGCACAATGGCGCAGTATACGCGACCTTGCAGTCTCAACAAAACATCACGTCTGCACCAAAGGTATTTCAGTCCTGCGTATTCTGCTAGAGACTTGGAAATGCGGGCGGTACCCCATTGAATATGCTACCGTCATTTGAAACGCAGAAACCTGAATGGGTGAAACATTCCACTACAGCTAATTCTTGACCATCAAGAATCAGCGCTGGGGTAGACGACACCCAGTCTGGCAGCATCACTTTGCACTTTGAAGGTACAAAGCACATGCCGAAAGGAGATACATAAATTGCTAGTCTGTCAAGAGCGTATTGCACATCTTCCAAACATTCGAACAGGCATACGATGTCATTAGCGTGCTCTAAATCGCACAGCTTTTCTCCAGCTGCCCATTCCATACCTGCGTTTTGGACACCACTAACTGCGTTCTCCAGTACTTCGTCTACGGAAAAATTGAACAGGAATGGCGAAAAAGGGCACCCTCGAAAAACATCGCTCCTGGTTTCGAAAGATTTACTTACCCCACCGTAGACCCCTACGCTACTAGAAGTATGCAGGTACAGCGACCGCAATAGGTCTACATACTTCCGCGGCATCCCATTGGGGAGCAGAGACCCCAGAAGAGCTTCAAGGTCAAATGACTCGAAAGATCGTTCTAGGTTAAGGAACACTGCGATTGTTGGCCGACGATGAGTGTGATGCCGTTCGAGGACTTGACGCAGAGTGAAGAATTCGATGCACCCGCGACCTGGTCGCAATCCGGCTTATTGTTCGCGGATATTCCTCTCTCTTAAGGCTTTCAGGCGGCGAACTATCACAGAAGTCAACACTTGTGATTATCGGAACTAAACTAATACCACGGTGATTAGCACAGTCGTTGCATGATCCCTTCTTGAAGATCGGGACGATCAACGATTCACCCCAGGACAAAAGGATACGCTCCTCCGCCAAATGCTGAGAAGTAAGCTAGTAATTGAGTCGACAAGAGAATCACCGCCTACTTTGAAAAGAATAAGGAAAAGCCCATCAGGTCCGGCTGCCTTCCCTTTCTTCAATGATTGAATGCAGTTTAGTACTTCCGATTCTGATGGGGGCTCGCATGTTACCACCCAGGGAGTTTCCGCCGCAATTGCTGGAATGACCACATTAGCACTGGGCCAATTGAACTGTCCACTAGTATACTCTGCCCAGCGGTCAAGTCGTTATTTTTTATTGTGGATACTCTGCCCACTTTTATCGCAAATGGGCTGACCGGTATGTGACGATCTCTGTGCTGCATATCAGGCGAAATAGTCTTTGACTATTCCCTGATGCAGAAGCTACCTCCATTTCACTAGCTATTTTGGCTCGCCGATTTTCAGGATCTTTCTTAAGGCTATTTCCTAGTTGACGTTGCAAACGACACCGGTCCTTATGCTGATCCTGGTAGATTGGGATCTTTCGCTTTTGATCCATCACGATTACCGACTCCTGAGATATTCAATGCCTTCGGGGAACTTCGCGCTCAGTCCCACAAGCAAAGTTTGCTGATGAGTGCATCGCAAATCTAATCTGATTCCACTGTTGGTCTACTCCAATATATCGCGGTTCTTCTAGCTCCTGTCCCAGCTTCTGCCCATAACGTGCGCAGGCAGCTAGATCGAGCAGACGATGGTGAGCTAACTGAGGAGGCGATTTCTACCGATGAACGATGAGTCGAAGAGTAAATTGTAACAGAACTAGTGCATGATCCGACTCAACGCAGGTGGTCCAATATGATCTGCAATTTTATACTGAACTATGCCAACGGCAGCTTACAGCTATATGGTCAATTTGGGTTAATGTGCCCATTGAACTAGAA